CTTGGCAATGGGTCGCGTCGATCGCGAGTCGCATCCATGTTGTTCGGAGCGCCGAGTGAGCTGGACCGCCAGCGAGTCGGCGCCGGGTCAATTGAACGGCACACATCGCACTGGCTGACGACGGCTCGCACGTCGGCCGGTGCGACTTGTCTGCCGAGGTCCCGTCTGGCGCACCACAGGGACCGGCGGATCCCCTGGTGCCGCGTCCGTTCGTGTATGCTTTTAATCCGGGCACGAACGTCGCTTGCCGTGGGCTCGTGAGCGACTTCTTGGTCCGCCGGGGGCGCCGCGGCTTCTTCCGGCCCGAGAGTCGCGGAGACCGAAGTCTCATCTCGCGGGGATGTCCTGCAGCATTTTGCCGCGACAGCTGCTGCGACTGAAGTCGCATCTCGAGGCTCTGCTCGCGGTCAGCTCTGGGGAACTCGGGTGAGCGCGTCGGCAGGATTGTCTTGTGACCGCACCAGTTGGACGGCCACCGAGCTGGAACTCGTCGACCAACTGTCGCATGACACCAATCCTGCGTCTGATCAGCATCTCCCCCTGCGCCTTGTTCTGAGACGAGAGCGTCCGCTCTAGGCGTCACTCAACCATTTGAACACTGTGGCCGAGTCCGTGCGTAAGCTGAAGCGCTTAACGCCCCGTGCCAGGGCCATGTTCACGCCACTCATCGCCGCGTCCAACTCGGCCATGTTGATGCGGTCCGCCGCCTTGGACTCTGGCCGGAGCCACGCGGCATCCTCGAGAACGCTGCCCTCCATATCCTCCAGAACTACCCCTTTCGCGATGGCGCTCGCGTCAGTCCACAGCACGAGCTCCCGGCCGACCATTCGCCACGGCCCGCGGGCAGGGTCAGCTGCCCTCACCCACGTTGCGACTTCCTGGATATGCGCGCGAAACGCATCATCCGACACTGGGTCGCCCCATCTGATCGTCAGGCCGTTCACTCGCCTCTTAAGCCAGGCAGCTGCTGGTCACAGCCATCCCACCACGGGGAGGTGCGCCACCAACTGTCCGCAACAACACGCAAACACTGCACGCCGGTTGGGCTCGGTCGGTGGTGGAGGCACCTCATTGTCTCGGCACCACCGCAGCTCATCATCCCGAGCCTCGACTCGAGGGCCGAGCATTCGCGCTCCGTCCGCGACGCGCTCCGGCGGCTTGCAGGCCAACCCGTACCTCGCAAAGTGCTCCACCACCTTGTCGGCGCTGACCACGTCTTCGTCGACGAGCAGGTCGTCCACATAGGGGATCACTCCCCGGCTGATCGCCTCGTTCTTACACAGCACCGCCTGAACAACGGCCTTCACAATCAACGGCGCCACATTGAGGCCGAATCCGAGCCGCGTGAGGCCGCAGGTGCGGCCCTTGACCTGCACCGTCTGATACGACCACAGCCGGTGCTCCAGACGCAGCTGCAAGGACACTTTTCGCAGGTCGACCACGGCCAACTGGGCACCATGCTGGCGCCAGCGGCGCAACTGCTCGGCGCACACGTCAGCATCCGCGGTGTGCACTACCACATGCCAGTTGAGTTCGCGGTAGTCCAACACTGGCCTGACCTTTCCCTTGTTCGGCTGTTGAACTGCCATCAAGGTAATCAGGCCCCGAGCCGGCCCTTCCTATTGCTCGTCAAAGGGCCGGAGCCATCCGTTCGCCGCCCATTCAGCCAACTCGCGCTCGTAGGCCTCTCGTGCTTCAGCCGGCACAGGCGGCGTGCTTCTCTCGTGCCTCTCGTGCCGCTGCCGGGCGCCGCCGAGTCGCATGCCGGCCAGTCACTTGCCGACTCCCGCGCCTCCTGCGTTGCCGCGCCCAGCTGCACGTCATTCGGGGACCGAACACTGATGCCTCCTAGCCCGGTGATGCCAGACATGCCGATCAGCATGTCCAACCTCAATGGATTATCCGGGACCACCAACGCCGCGAGCGTTACTCGCTTGCCTCTGTAGTCGAACGTCACCTGGGCGGTGCCCACGCACTGCAACACTCAATCGTTCACCGTTCGCATCTTGACCGCGCCGGGCGCCACGTGCGGCAGCAGCTCACGTGAACCAGGGTGTCCGTACATGCCGTGTCGAGCAGGGCACACCGGGGGCGCTGGTCCACCAGCAGTGTCACGACTGGCAGAGCGCGCGCTACTGTTCGGGGGACTGCGCTGGCGCTAACGCAGCCCCCTGCCCGTTTGGGCACGCCGCTGCCAGGTGACCCGCCTGTCCGTAGGTCCAGCACTTCCGGACGGGTCGTCTTGCCGGTCGCGCCTGTCGAGTTCCTCTTTCTTCGTGCGCTCCAGCCGCTGCCGCTGCCGCACCGGCACGTTCGTCGCTCAGCACTGCTCGGGCTCGCACCAGGATGCTTGCCAGACTCAGAGCCAGAGCCTGGAGCCAGTGCGGACATTCCTCCGTACCTCGTCGAGCAGGCCGGCGACAAAAGCCCACGGGAGCACGTTTTCCGGAACCCCACTGCACTGCAGAGCTGCGAGACACCGTAGGTCCGCCAGGAACACGTCAGGCGACTGACCAGGCAGCAGCCGTCGGCTGGTATGTGCGTCGTACGCGGCAAACCGATCCATGGCAAAGGCGCCGTAGAGAGCGTCACGCACGGCGTCACTCGATGCGCGCGCCTCCTCCGGCATCTGCAGCCAGACGGCAAACGCGCCACCCGTGGGTCGCGCCGACAGAATGTTGGGCAAGTCCGCTTCACGATCACGGCAGAGCACGGCCGCCCTCATGAACCACTCTACGACGTCGGCCGTGCCATCGTACTCGGGGATGAGTCGCGCGTCAAATGGGCCTTCACCAGTCACCGCAGCCCCTCTGTCCACTCCGCCGTAGTAGTCGGCATCACTGGCGCTGGGACACTCGCAGCAGTCGTGGTCACAATGTCGCCGCTGGTCGCGGCGGTTTCGGGCATGATGGCCGAAATAGCTTGTAAGAGACGTAGCGCGCACCCGCCCTGACTCGTCCAAAAACCGACTGGCACCTGCGAGCGTCGAGTCCCTGCCGCCGCCTCAGCGGTCGACCCTTGACCCCGGGGAATCGGGAGACCCGTAGTCATGTGACGTCCCCCGGCACCCAGTCAGATGCAGAGCTCGGAAGACAGCGAGGGCGAGGGCGCACATCCCGCACAATTACGCCACATAAGGTTAATTATTTGCGAGTCGAAATTACGCTGTAAACGCTTGGTAAGGCACCATGCCTCTTGCCTGCAGTCGCAACCACCGTCGTTATACAAAGACCGTGCACACCTCTACTGGTGCAAATAAAAGAACGTCTGTGATTGGCCCAGCGACCAAAGGCTTGTTGCCCAAGGTTTGGTTGGCTGGAGTTTGAAGTAGTGTGTCACATGGATAATGCAATATTCCTACTCCCAAAACCAAAATGTGCCTCTCGAGATCCACTGTGGTAAATGCCACAGGGCAAAAATTAAAGCCATAGGCTAGCGTTTCGTTCAATTCTCGGTAAAGCAGCTTCATGCTTGTATGCCTTTTTGTCTTAACAGTATTTCAAACTTATATAGCATTAATTATACCTTGTGGCACCTTAGTGTGGTGCAGACAGTACAGAACACATTTTGAAAAAAGAAGGCAAATGAATAGTACTACTTTCATAGTATTGAGCATGGAGTCAAATAAAATTTCTTCCGCAAGGTCGGCTATTTAAAAAAAATCGAGCTATTCAAGATTTTGACAAAATTCGCATCACTGATCAAATTGTCCGCATCTGATGTATCCGTAAGTAAAACGTTCGACCTTGCCCACATCAGAAACGTGTCATTTAACATTGGAAAACAAGAAGAACATGACCATCTGCAAGCAGAGGAGACAATTCAACGTCCCTAGAGTTGGGAACCAGACGCCTTATGCGCCGTGAGAAGGGCGCATAACAGTCGACCACAAGCCTGGTAATACGGACTTCCAGGCTTATAATATCATAAGGCGCATTTAAAATTGTTAGGTTTCATCATGTTACCATTTTCAGGTGAGCCATATGAATCACTGATGCGACACTGTTAGAGCTGGTCGGCTCATGATTCAGCTCATGAAATAGACGAAAAATGGGACTCGGCCCCTGACTCAAAGCGGCATCTCCCCATTGAGCCGACTCAGTTCACAGTTTAACCCCAAAGGATCGACTCATGAGCCGATTCATGGTCAAGCTCGAGTCGAACACAGGCCTGCATGGCACAGCTGCCTTGCCAGCATTGCGGGCCACCAGTGATGCCACGTAGCAGGTGAGTTTGCGTCCAAAGGCGCCGGATGACCGTACCTGGTGTGCTGGCCTTGCGCTGATTCAACTTATAACTATTCTTAGAGTCGGTTAATGCTTAATCGTACCTAAATACGTTGTATTACGTGACTTGGGTGACATTAGCTCGCTTTCGATTAACACACCTAGAAAATTAGTGATACTAGCGTGCAAGGCCATGAACTTTGATTTGGATCGTTTGTGCTTGTGCCAGAAATAACAAGCTTACAGCATGTCAGGAAGCGCTCGTCTATGTACTTGCTTAATCTTAATCTCTATCGGAGGTCTATCAGCCGAATGGGTCCAATGGCTCGTGTTAGGCCTTTCCGTCCAGATCCCGTTGGTAAGCGCAGCCGCCAGTCGCTGCGCCACTGGTGTCGCGCTCGTGCCAATATGTTGTACTTACACACAGCGTCACTGCACTGACGCTGTGTCGGCGATATATTCCAAGCCTGGTCAGCTTCAGGATGTTTGATAATAAGGAAGATTAACCCGGAATTTAAACATATGTGTGTTTGTAATGATCATCACCAGCTCTACTAATCCCAGCTGCATCTCCATTTTCCACCGCAGATCCATCCCGGTAGAATGTCCTGGCCTCTGTGCGTTCGTTCTAAATGCCAATTTCTAAATTAGGTTTGAATGGGATGATATTATAAATAGTGTTCAGCGCAGTTGGTGAGCATGTATCTAATCATCAGAACTATATGTTATTGAGAAGAGACAAAAGTCGACATCGCATGAGCATTTATTTACACACGTTTAACACCGAACACTCGTAAAACATTCAAGAAAAATACGGTCATTCAGGAAGGAAGTACGATGATGACCGCCTAAGACAGACAGTAACTGAAATGCACGATGCTACAAAATTGTGGAGCATAGCGCATGTGTGTGAATTATACTTGTTTAGCATAGCACCCCGGTGTGGGTTTGTTTTCACCTCATTTCGTTTCCCAATGTTGCGGGGTGCCAGAGTTTATTGAACCCTGAGAGATTTCTGCACACATCCTGAATGGCAGGAAACTTATCTAGAGGCCGCTTTAACCTGGAAATACGTCCAGGATGGCCTTTACTGAGGCTGGCCGTAACGGTCTGCACTGATCACGGACATTCTCTTCCGCAGCGGTTGGTGATATGATACTCCGTAGCGGGAGGGAAGGGCTAGCTGGCATTGCCTGTGGGCCAGATGTCCTGACATTGTAGTATAGTCTAGCTACCTAAAGGCTAGCAGCCACAGCCCGAAAACCCATGCGCTCCAACGTGACCGTCACAACCACTTCCACGATTAATACGACGCCGGAGGTCATGTCGGCGTCAGTGCCGCGGCAGTGTACCTGCGGTCATCTGCAAGCAGCGGAGCATAGCGTATTCTGCTGTCCTACAGCAGCGTATTTGTGCCGCGACAGCTGGCCCATAGCTTTACCTGCGGCCGCGGCTGTCATGTCACTACGGGCACGCACGTGCGCGGCAGCAGCCATGAACTGCAGCGGCTGCCTGCGTGCCAGCAGCCGTCCTAGAGCTGCGTGTCGATTCGCCGGCGACTGGCCCTGTCCGCCGGCAGCATGGAGACGGCCGTCGAGGAGGGCTGGTCGTGCCGCTGCACGGTCAGCATCGGCACCGTGTTGGTGGGGCCGCTGCGCGCCTCGTTTCGCTCCGGCGGCGAGTCGCATAAGCCCTTCAGCGCGCGCGGAATCAACTGGCGCCACTCGCGCTGAAAATTGGTGTTGAGGAAGCCGTAGAGGATGGGGTTAGTGACGGCGCTCGTCATGGCCAGCAGGTGGCACACGGCGAAGCCCAGGTTGTAGGTGCGTGTTTCCACCGCGATCAGCTTCAGCTCGTCCAGGATCAGGAACAGGTGATACGGCAGCCAGCTGACGGCGAATACCACTACGATGAGCGTGAGCACGAGCGTGACGCGCCGATTGCGCGAGATCTCGGCCCGGATTCGGTTGCCGATGCTGCCGTTAGCCATGTGCTGGCGCAAGAATGTTTTTATGCGTGAATGAGTGATCGCGAGTGTCACAATCGGCGCCAGGTACTGGATCATTAACAAGGCAAATGTGAAGGACAGACGCGACGCGTTGTTGGGCCATTTCTCCCTGCATATCTCGTACAGGGCAAAAATCGGCCGCTGGCCCTGCCAATTAGGGAACGGCACCGGCTCGATCTTGTGGAACACCCACATCGGCGACGATATGCCCAAAGAGATCATCCAGAGGCAACATATGTACACGAACGGTGGCAGCCTCTTGGGACAGGCGCAGGGGCTCTTAACGATGGTATTGTAGCGATCCAGGGCGATGATGATGACGGTGCCGGTGGACACCAGCACGTTGCTGCACTGAATCAGCGGCACCAGCTTGCAAAGGTACTGGCCGAACGTCCACTTGGCCTCAATCACCACCACGAGCGTGAAGGGCATGGTGATTGAGCACAGCAAGATGTCCGAGGTGCAGAGGTTCACGATGAAAATGTTCCTGGTCGTGCGCAGTTTTGGCTTTCGGATGAAGATAAACCACACGAATAGGTTGATGATGATGCCGAAGAGTATGAGCGACCAGTAAAGGATCTGGAGGAGAGTGGCCACGGCCGGCTCGTGCTCGCCGCCAGAGTTGACCTTGCTGCTGATGACTCGGATGATGTTGTTCACCACGAGTGTGGCGTTGTCACCCAGCGGTCTGTCGCCGAACAAGTCGAGGATGGCCGCCCGCGTCCGCGAGCTGTTAGCCGTGGCGTCACTCCATGCGATCAGGTCCGGTTCGGTGCTGTCCGCCATCCTCGGTCCGTCGGCTGTGCTACGGCGCCCTGGCTGGCGGCTGTGCTGCGGCGCCCTGGCTAGTGTCTAGGCTGTGGAAGGCGTGCCGGACTGCGGCTGGACAGCAGCAGCAGACCACGGCTCTGGACAGCAGCAGCAGATCACGGCTCTGGACAGCAGCAGCAGACCACGGCTCTGCCGATGGCCGAGCTTCCCGAGCGTCGGCCACAAGGCGATCTGCAACAAGTAAAGTGATTTATGCTTGATGGCCGCCTAATTGCCTGCTCGTGCGTCTGTCTGGCCCCGAATCGCCACTTAATTAGTCTGGGACCGCCGAGGAGTGTGGTCATGGTGTGCGCCTGGTACCAATCAATCTAAGCGCTGCTAACTGCCGGGCAATCCGGGCCCGCTGCGTAAGTGCTGGACGATAATGCATGGGGGAGACCCAGCCAGCTGGGGAATCACGTTCAGGAGACGCGCCGCCACCGGTGCGTAGTATGCCAGATGCCTGATCTCGGCGACGGGTCAGCTGCGTCAGCTCATACATGGTAACAGGTGGCCGCTCTGGAGCCTTGTCAGAAATGTTCTTGAAGCGCAGACAAAATAAGCTGGTCAGTCAATTTCCCGACGTTATCCGAATTCAGCCAGCATTGGCTAAGTCGAATGAACCTATAAGCTCATCGACCAGAGGCATAAAAAGCTATAAGCCCAAGTACACCGAATATGTGCATTATCATGCCATAGCTTTGATCAATACCCCAGAGAAAGTTTGGAGGGCGGCATCAGCCCAGGCGCGGATCCAGGATTTCGTCAAGGAAGTACACGCAACATTGTAGACGCCCTGGAGTTTGGGGCCACCTCCAAGAGATGCTCACATTCCTTCCATATTGAAAACTAAAAATTGGAACCTTTCTTTCCGTGCGCAGCCCCAAAAAGGTAGGCGTGCTAGCTCTCGTCAACAAGTGTAGGGTCCTCAGAGCAAGTGAGAAGAAGCCAAAAAATACACCTGTACGATTGCAAAGTCGTACCGACCTGAACGATCGGCAGGCTGGCATCCGGGACTCCGGCCAGAGCACAGGGCCCTATGAGCAAAGGAAACTTAACGAAGACCAACGCTGTAAATTAATGCCCCTGTGTGATCAAGAGTGGCCTGGCAACTTAAAAGAAAGGGCCCTGGTAAGATTGAAGGGTTCTCCACAGATGAGATGAAAGGGACGGAGCCCTAGTTCAAATAAGAGGGCCCCAGAAAATCACGTGGCTCCGTACCTTACCTTGTATGAGCCCCAGGAATGGCACAAGGCTCTCCAAGCAAGTGGAAATAAACCAACACCAATGTGAAAGCCCCTGAGCAACTGACCGCTCCCTGACATATAGGGCTCAGGAAAAAGGGTATAGAGCCTTTCTAATCTAAAGAGTCCGTGGAGGAAAAGCTTGCCGATCAAGAATGCCAAGGCATGTAAGCAGATAGTGTCCCAACAGCAGCGTAGAGCTCTTCGAGAAGATGCAAAGATATCAAGGAAAATGTGGAAGGCTCCTTAGCAAATCGATTGACCCTGCAAGTGGACATATAGGGCCAGGGCAACAGCGTAAGGCGTCTGGATGGTGTAATGAGCCCCCAAAGCCCACAGTCAACACCTCAGTTGTCGACGAATTAGCTTTGTCTGCCCATGGGCTCTCCACTTTCGCTTACATCTGTTCCTGGGACGTCGACTTTTGTTATGTTTTGTGTTAGAAAACTGCGTCCGGTCGGCCGGTTATGAGCCCCTTCAGAGCCTATGGGTCCCCGCAAGGCACAACAGGGGCATGGTCTCATGCCTCCCCCTCCCCTCTGCATCCGTCACAGGCCCGAGCAGATTAACAGTTGGGGCCTTAAGAAGAACATAGTTTAAAAACACAATCCATTCATCCATTCATCCATCTATGCATCCACACACAAGAACACATCCATTCAAAAAAGAAGCACCCAAGACAATATAGAGGGCCCCGAACGATCGTGTTTGCCCGAGCAGGTTAACAGATGCGGGCCCCCGCAGGATCATGTTGTCCTCCATTCAACAAAGAGATACCCACGATACAATTAAGAGGGTCCCTGAACGATCGAGTGTGCCAGAGCAGGTTAACAGGTAGGGCATCCAACAAGACCTAGCCATCGAAATAAGAAGTACCGAAGATTCAGTGTGGAGGTCCCCCGAAAGATTGAGTGTACCCGAGCAGGCTATCAGATGGCTCCCGACAGGAGCATAGGGACCTACATCGAAATACCTAGTGTGCAGGGCCCCCAAACAATCCAGTGTGGTCCAGGAGGCAAACAGAGGGGGCCCCGACAAGCGAGTAGGGCCTTGCATTCAACTAGAGAGTACCCAAGATGCAATGCGTAGCCCCCCCCCCCCCCCCGAACGATCGGGCGCGCCCGAGAAGGTTAACAGATGAGCCCCGACAAGTGTGTAGGACCCTCTACTGCAATACAAAACACCCGAGACCCAATTGGGAGCGGCCCGAACCACCCGGCGTGCCCAAGCAGGTTAACGGATGGGGCCCCCGGCAAGAGCATAGGGCCCTAACCAATTGACAAAGAATTGGAGGACCCCTAGACCAATGTAGAGAGCCCATGAGGGTATCGCAAGTGTGTCGGTTTGATTAACCGAAGCCGACGTAAAGGAACCCTAAGGAACCGAGAATGGTTAACGTATGGGGCCCCGGCTATAGCGTACAAAGCCTTTCTGGTGAATTGAAAGAATCTGTGGAAGGCCCCTGATTGAGAAGGACGCCCAGGCACGGAAGCGGGAAGTGTCCCAGCAACAAACCAGAGCCCTCCGGGCAAATGCAAAGAAATTAGTGCAGCGTGGAGGGTTCCTAAACGATCGGATTGACCATGCAAGTGAGCATATAGGGCACCCAGAAACAGCCTAGGACCTCTGGACGGCGTAATGAGCCCTGGAATATGCCAGTCACGACCCTTTCAATCAGTGAATAATAATTGTTGTCTGCTCTCGGGTCCTCCACTTTCGCTTGCGACTGTTTTTGAGCACCTAGAAGCCCAGAGGTATCCAATTTTTATTGCGTTCCGTGTTAAAAAAGCATCTGGTCGGCCGGCCTTGGGCCCTCTTCAGAGCCTATGAGCACCTTCGGGGCCCAACGGGGGGGGGGGGAGGGGGACATGACCCCGTGCCTCCCTCTTCTGGATCCGCGCCTGAATCAGCCCCATTTTCAAGCAAGAATTGAGCTATTTCTTCTCTGATCATGAACCAACAAATGCAACTTTTGAGCTACCGCTGCTTGGCGTTTACTTGTTCTAGCGCTGTTGTGGGGAAAAAATGGTTGCAACAAGATTATCGATGACTTTTCACGACGTATCTTTATTAATAATCGCGCTGAATCAAATACTTCATGTTGACCACCGGTCTTCCATGAATGAAAACATCGCATCAGAGATAGATGAGCACATAATTAACCAACTGCAGACAGCCAACTGAAACCTAAATATGGTACTATTACATGAAAATGTGCCGCTTTTGTGATCACAGGCTCAGAAGCGGTTGCATACTTGCAGTGTTTATGAGCTTAAACCTTATATTTGTACAAATAACATAATAAAAAAGGCTGCATATTTAATTCTTCAACACAACGCAATTATGTATATGGACATACCTTGTCCGTATCCATACTGGCGGAGTATTTATAAACACAGAGACTCTTCTGAGACTGCACATTTTTTAGATTTCACATGACCTAACTGTTAAAAGCCATAGACTTTACATGGAAGACGAAAGACATCTTGACGTGCATCTAAGACCTCAGGGAGAGACCTAGCTCGCGATAAATTTGCACAGACCGCGATTAATCCCCTGTCGTGATAATAACTGGGCTTTTGCTCTGAGTTTATGTTGCGTGCTAGCTTTGTTTAACTCATCTCGGTACGGTATTCCGAATAATTTTAGGTTTGACGGCATTCACAATCAAATGACGACGGACTAGCATGAAAGAGCAGAGGGCTTCAGGCATGTTTGAGAACAATGAGCGACATACATAAACATCCCAATGAATATGAGGAAGGCTTGTTACGTGATACTCGAGCGCTAGCCTGAACCGGAGTCGACGGAGCTCGGTAGCGGCTCGGTTTCGCGACTTGAAATATTCGTGCCGGCGAGTTCGGTTGGGTTGGGGGGACAAAAGGAGGATCCGAATGTAAGGCCGATGGAAACGAGGGCAAGAAGGAGGGCGAGAAGAAAATGTGCGTGCGACATTTGTGGATGGACCAGGACAGATCAAAGTGATTATAGACCTCTAACGGTAAGCACGAAAGAGGCATCCCTTAAAGACATTCCCCGACGGCCAATTTTCCCCAGCAGGTCGCTTCATGACCCGGGTCAGATTGTAAGGTAGGTGTACAGTCCAACAAGGTCCTAGCTAAGCTAACAATCTTTCTTTACGAGCATGAATCCCAGATCCACCAAATGCTTGGACATGTATCGCCTGTTTACGTGTCAATATAAATAGGTAATAGGAAATGATGAGAAGAAAACGTGCGCTTATGGGTACAAATGTGCGGCTCAAGCTACTTGGCTCGGCCGCCTCCGGTTCATCTTGCCACTTGAGAGGGGAAAGAAAGCTGGGGTCTGATCTATATGTCGTTTTCTGAGGGAGGAGAGCAGAGAGAACGCTCACTTTTCAATGTCCAAATTCGAGTCGTTGCATGCGAATAAATGTTTCGGGCGTTTGAGCGCGCCTGTGACAGACTAGACTGAGAGTTAGGGGCAAAGTCTGTGTTGTGTTCTTCATAGCAAAATTCCGTATGTGCCCCGGGCGGGCCACAATAGCTCGCTTCTAGTAAAGTATAGAGATCGTCTGATCTTAATCATCGATCAGTCTGTTTGGGAATCAGATTATCTTTGTAAATGTACGATAGGGTCCACCGACCGCACCAAGTAACGTCCATAAAGATAACGTCGATACGCGTGGTGCCTGTGTTCGAGTCCGGGCTGAGGGCGTCTGAGATCTGTAATACCAGAGGCGCGGAGTTTTGTTTGCGCCTGTTATGTATTTATTCATTTTGATATCATCAATCCAATGCGTCTTCATATGCGCCATGAAAAAGCCGAAAAAGCCGGTGGACCGTCCCGTGCTTGCCCCTAATGGCAAAGTCCATGACTACAACCGGCCTGTACATAACGGGCCACAGTTAACGTAATGATAGAGCTCACACATGGCGAGCATCGCCCAGCGTTGACAGCGATCTG